GTACGACATGCATGAAAGACACCAAGATCCGGATTATGGCTCATTCATGGCCCAGGTGCGCACCTATCGACGCTTCTATGGCAACTGGCCTGAAGCCACACACAAGTGCCTGGAAAGAGCATGGCAAGCCATCAAGGAGAAGCTCAGTCAAGCCCAATATCCATGGCAAGTCACCAAGGGCCCAGTTGCTGCACTACAATGTTACCTCATGGAAAGGAAATGGGAGTGCACTCACTATGGAGTTTGGACCAAGCCTGGCCATAATGGACAGCGAGAGTTTCGACTGGACATGACAGATGACTGGTACACACTCCGTGAAGGAGCTCAAACGAGCAGAACGATGGGAACGAATTGAGAAGATCAACAAGAGACAGCACTTGGAGGACATTCAGAACACCATTGATTGGAGGCCATGGAGACTCATGACTAAGACCCTCAATGCTCGCAACAGCACTTCTCTGGCCACCTGGCATCAAGGAGCTCTGTTCACCAAGGTAGCGGACACTGAAGGTGATCGACACCTGATATGTCCACACTGTGGACAAAAGGCCACTACGCTCCACCTGCTGTGGCTTTGCAAGGAGACGACCAAGGCATTCCCGCCATTGAGTCCTGAGGATCAGTTTGAGCTTGACCATGGAGTGCACCTTGAGTTCTGGACGCAAGGGCTTCTCACTTTGCCGAAGTATGAGCTGGCCACAGGAGGAGCGGCTGTCCAGGCATGGGGCAGCTGGACTTTGCAGGATGAAATGAAGGTGAGCAACACCTCGGTCTTCACCATAGGGATAGCCGCCACGAGCAAGGACCCACGATTGAGGCACTATGTGGTGGCTTTGGTGCAACATGCCGGATTGGGCCAAGAGCTTTACCGCCTTGGAGTGGTAGCAACAGTGCTGCCAGGGCACCAATCCTTGGAGAGAGCTTGGTACTATGGTCTGAGGATGGCCGCCCACTACATCAATTTGAGCACTCAGGTGAAGTTCCACGTGCTCTCTGCCAAGGCCTGGGAGGCATGGGTGCAAGGGAAGCATGATCACATCTTCCACGACCTGGGCAGCTTGGTCACGCCAGAGCAAAAGAAGCAGGTCAAGGCCCTCAGCATCACTATGCAGCAGATCCGGCAGATGCCCACCGGTCACATGACCTTGAAGAACAGGTTTCATGATGCCACGAAGGCAGCCACTGAGGTTGCTTTGTCCTTGAGACCGCTTGAGGAGGAGACCTTTCTTCAACAGCAAGATGAGAAGTACAAGCGCATTGCACCGCTAGCCATCAAGCGAGTGCAACACATCTTGGACAACAAGGACCACTTCATGCACCAGGCCAGAGAAACCGGAAAAACCCTCCGACTGCAGAAGCAAGAGAGCAAAAAGCAGGCATTTGCTGACCTGGCCGAGATCTCCAGTGAAGGTGCTCATGCATGGCTCCTCAAAGGACGCGCCAAACAATGTCTTCATTGCCTCAAGAGGCTGACCCTCCATGCCAAGCTTGAGGACCTACAAGCAGCGGCACAAGAGAGGTGCCCAGGGAACCCTGGAAGCACCAAAGGGGGTCAGAACACAGAGCCTGACGAGGAGACAAAGAGCCAGCTCATCAAGAAGCTCCTTGATGACAGCACAGGAGAGCATGGAGAGCACAATTTCCAGCAGCAAGGCAGTTACCTGGTTTGTCAACAGTGTGGCGCCCGGGCTTTACGGAATGCGGCCAAGCAAAAACTCCAGGACCTGAGCAAAACTCATTGCATCAATCAGGCCTGGGAACCAACGCACGGTTGGAAGGGACACAGCTCTCACAGCATGTGGCGGCGAGCCAACACGCTGAAGTGCCTACGCTGCAAGGCGCAGGCAACGAAGAAAGGCCATGAGTGGCAAGCCAGCAAGGCCTTGAGTGGCCGCTGTGGAGGACTTGGAGATGGACAACAACTTCCACTCGTGTTCAAGGCCAAGACGGCCATTGACGAAGGAGCATAACCAGAAAAGGAGCGAGAAAAAAATAAAAATATTATATACATATCTACATGTAATAGCAATAATATGAACATATATATTATACACATACAAGATTAGATCAATATAAATATGTAGTCCCTTGGACTTCCAGAGGGCTTCCTCCGCTTCCGAAGCCAGGAGATCCGGGGCTGGGAGTTTTCGCTCATCGACGCCGACGACGTCGCCCCTCGGTGTAGAACCGGAAGAACGAGGGGGAAGCGATGGGAAACGGGGTGGTGAGTGAACCCAGTTTTGGTTTTGGAGTGGGTGGTGGACACTTCGGTGTGAAGCTGGGAGAACCGGTGCTTTTTTGTGTTGAATTTTTTTCTTTTTGGGGGGGGGCGAAGGACTGAGGTGGGGGCACATGTTCACATTGGCAAATTCGTTTGTTGCTACATGTTGGTGCATTCCTGGCTTCTGAAGAGTCATATTTTTTCCGATGGGGTTGTTGGGATTTCTTTTGGCTCCGAGATGCTTCGTTTTTTTGATCCAGTATGCAATCTTTCAGGGTTGAGAACCCCAGTCAGTGGCTTGGCGGTTTTCATGCTTGTGCTTGTGTTCACCCTCTTCGAAGGCGATCCCTTCGACGACCAGCTTGTCCCGTTTGGAGCCCATTCCGTCGGTGGGGAGTTGCTTGTCCCGACTGGAATGAGCTTGTCTCGTGAGCCCAACTGGGTGTAGCTCGTGCCCGAGGGATGCGAGCAGAGCGAGCGAATGTGGTGAGATTGAGGGGCTGTCTCTGGGTATGTCCAAAAAGCAGAGGAACTTTTGAAGGAGCGGATGCTCGTTTTGGTTTGCTGCTGCAAGCAGATGCCATACATAATCATAGTGGGGGTCTGCTTGTTTGAGACACACCAATGTTTTGCTCTTATTTCGATCAATTACACTTTTTCAAGCAGTACTGATGGCCTCCTGGCCTTCTGTGTGGCCATCTCCGCATGAGGGTACGTGCTCGCGTTTCATTGGCTTTGGATGGCCCCTGCTGGCAGAACTAGGTGTTAGATGTTCAGTGTCCAGTCACGATTTTCCCTTGCCCAAACTATTCGCGAGTCTTCCTACTCAGTAGCTGGCTCTTGATTGCAAGCAGCAGACACGGCCCATCATGGGGTAGTTTGAAACGAGCTGCTCAGCAGGGTGTTGGGTCCTTCTGTTGCGCGCACTGTGTAAACCGAATCTTCCTTTTGAGGGCAAGCCTGGTGTTGGACCTTGATCACCTTGTCCAAGCAGGGGCCACAGGCCACTCGGGCTGCCAAGGACTGCAAGTTGCAGTGTGCCCCTTGGAGTTCAACGAACACGTTTTTAGCTGCTACAGTTCAGCAGCACACAGCTGTAGTGCTAAGTTCAAGGCACAGAAGACTTCAACACAGTGCTAAGTTCAAGACGTCAGGTGTTTATCACTATGTCGCGGGCACATGCACGAACACGCCGTGTATCAACCAAGTGCCAAAGAACAGAATCATCGAGAGTTGCTGCGGGTTGCCAGCGTGCTGCCGCTATGCTGCCCGGGAACTGATGCAGTGATCCAGTTGCGCAACGCCACGCAACGGTGAATTCCAAGGGCGCATCGTGTCCCATGGAACACGTGGGATGAATCCTTATTTTGCCTGGCGCCTCTTAGAGTGCTTGATGGCAACGTCGAGCTGGGTGGGCGATGCACTATATATAGTATACACTATATATATAGTACAATATAGTGTGTATATATAGATTTATGTATACTATACGTACATAGTAACAACATACCGTGGTTGTAGCGAATCCAGCTGCAGTCATCCCAAAGTCTTGAGATGGTGACCTTTCATTCCTTGCAACCCTAGCCCACAATCCCAGCGTACCTGTGCAAGCAACGTTCCTGGTATGTGCGAGTCATTTGGGAACCCATGCAGGTAAGAGCTCCAAAAGGGTTGCTTCTCGATGAGATTGTTGCTCTAATCAGCGGCGAAAGAGCTCAACCCGACTCGCTACAACCCGACTCCGGAAATGCAACATCTACTCCTACTATACTAGAGGTGAGTGAATCACGGTATCACTTTTGGTCCTCATGCAGACCCAGGCCCAGGTCGAACAGCTTGCCGCGGATCTCTTTGGGATTTTCAAGGGGGCATGGCCAGGTGGGGCTTAAGTTTCACACCTGAGAAGTGGGAGACGCTCAGTCCAACCTGAGTCGAGGCCATCTCTGCCAGACTGTCAAGTCAAGGGTTGAGCGACTCTCCCATCGAAGGATGATCCACTGGTGCGTGTGGAGAACAAAAAGAATGGAGCGATGTGTCAGGTCCGTTGCGGTGTTGATGTGAAAACTGAAACATATGGTCCACTGGAACAGGGGGGTCTCGAGGCTCCTTTTTCGTCAAAACGGTCGGATCTTACTCTTAACTCAGCCTGGAACTTGGAACTGGGGCTCTCATCACCAGCCTTGCTTCATACACAAACCAGCCTGGGTCAGCGGTGACACTTCAAGAGGTCTCATCTCCGTTGGACCATTCAAAGTTGAGCCTTGAGCCCCCCCAAGTTTTCATCTACACTCTCGCACATCCATCCCTTGTTCATGTGGAATTCGAGTGCAGATCTATTTTGGTCGCCACACATTTGGGTTGCCACAGAGCGGGCGGCCGGAAAACGGCAGTGCCACCGCTGTGTGACAAGGCACCTTGACCTCCCGACCAAAAAACGGGAGTTGCAAAAGGTAGAACTTGAGCGTTTGAGCGTTTTTCAAGATTGACAGATTCAAAGTGCTTGCCGTTTGAAAGTTGTTTTGTAAAGGCAGTTTTTCAAACGTCCGCAACCATGCGGGGGGGCTTTGAACCCTTGACATCACCATCACTGCTGATTCAATCATTTGAGCTTTCCAGTAGGTGTTCTCCATTTGTTGCTTCAATAGCCCCTCACAACTCAGTGGATGGCAATCCGACCAAAACCCTGGTGAGTCTTGCAATTATCCTGAAGGCATCTGCTGAGTCTTCCTATTTCTTAACCAGCAGAAGCATGGCTTTTGGAGCACATTCTCTGCGTCAGGCCCCCGTCTCCCGAGGGCAACGTCTCGTGGTGGGGCCCAGTATAAAGGACCGGCGACTATTTCCAAAATGGTCTTTGGGTGACCCGAAGGACGATTTCCTTCACTTGGGTGGTGCCAAAAAAAGAACAACAATATGTGTGTATATATATATATAATGGTCCCCAAGTAGATAGAAAAAGTAGATCCCGACTCAAAATGTCTTGGAATGGCGTGCCACTATCCCTCCTCTTTGGGGGGCCACTAGTCACTAGTTGGTCCAACTGGACTTCCAAAAAGGACTATGGGGAACATGAGTCCAACATGACTCCGATCCATTCCGTCCCAAGAGACCTCCAATTCAAAGACCCTTTGGGGCTTGTGCCATCTGCTCTGAAACCACTGTAGAAGTTTTGATTCTGAATCACTCTGCAACATGGAAGTGGAGGCTCCCTGTTTGCAACCGAAAGTTTGCGCAGGGGCTTCCTGACCCTATGGACATCAAATGAGCGGAATTTGAGATCCTGCAGTCGTCACCCTGCCCTTCCTAATCTGCGGCTTGGGTGTACATCGAAGTATGGGAAGGGTCACTTGTGAGGGACTCATCTCCCCATATCTGATGATCTGGGAGACTCAAGCACCCAAGACAAAACACCTTTTTGTCAGTCGGCCTCAGAGGGATTCCTCAGTACACCTGGGTTTGTGAAAACAACTAGAAACCTCACTGAGGGCGGAAGACGGCGCGGTCAAGCAGATCGCGGACATCGTGGCAGACGCGGAGGCGGTGGGGAGATCTATAGAGATCTGAAGGAACGTTTCCGCCTGTGTTGCCTAGAAGGACGCCAAGTCAGCCCTCGAAGATTGCGGGTTTTCCAAGCCCTTGAAGGACTTGAAGAGAACTAATTTTACCTTATCATCTTTGTCTTTACTCCAACCACATCAGAAGGCCGTCTGAAGGGTTGCCCATATTTTCAGAGCAGGTCGGGACATAGACTGACATAGATGTTGAACAGGACCATCAGAGTGGGGTGTTCTTCCTGAGATCGGACGCTGCGCTGGGCCAACCATGCCGGTCACTGAGAAATCGCCAGGCCAAGATCATGCGTCGGATGGAAGGCGGGAGACCCGTCATCCATCGCAACGCGCATCAGCGCAATGGAGCGCGTTAAAAGGAGCGCGGAGCGCGCGGGACGCCATGTTTTCAGGGCCGGATGAGGATGCGCGTCAAGTTGCATTTTGTTCGAACATAGCAAAGTTCGGTTAGTTCGGTTGTGAGTAGGAATTGTGGCTTGGAAACCAGTATGACACTCAAACGGAAGACACAGACTCAAGCACGGGGACACCTCTGCTGACTTGTTTATTACAAACACTTGTTTGAATAGGGGAGTGATTCCTTTTTTGATATTCTTTGAATCAACTTTTGGAATAATCAATGTTCCTTTTTGCTGACGTTCTTGTTTGGTGCCGTAATGTTGAATGTTGATTTGCATGATTCCTTTTGTTAAAAAAGATTTTAAAAAAGACCGGAAGACACAGTGAAATGACATGCAATTCCTTCAGTGGAACTGAACGGGACAGGAAAGGACAGCAACAACAAATAAAGCGGAATTCCTTTTGTTGAATGGATTCTGGAAAGGCATGCAAAAAGACATGAAAGGGAACTCCATTTGTTGAATGGCTTTTGGAAAAGGACAACAGCAGGAAATTCAGTTTCTTGTTGTAGAATTGCTTCTAAAGGAGAAGGGAAGTCGGACGTCCTTTCCTCTCCATGTTCCAATTGAATTCCTCCGGGTTCAGTGGTGAATTTTATATACAGCAACCGGAAGTTATGCATATTATTTCTATCCTGTAAATTAACTAATATAGTTATATAAATTCAATTCCAGGCTTCCCGGGGAGTGCATCATTGAAGAATCATTATTGTATACATATATAGTGTTTTCTTTGTTTTAACTATAGTCTTACATAATAATTGCTTTAATATGATTGATAAAACGGGATTAGCTTAGAGTCCCAGGACCAAAGATGGTCTAACACAGGGACGAACAAGAAGCAATAGGAAACCAAAAGGAAACAAGAGGGAATTAATAGGAACCTCAGTGGTGGTGGTGGTGCTGCTGCTGCTGGTCCTAGTTAAGGGCAATGCGGAGGAGAAATATATCCTGTACGTCTTCAAAAGATCTGAGAGACTGAGAGTGAGAGACTTCTTTTGTCATGATTCCAACTCCCACAACAGTTCTAGAAGATCCATTTGCTCACCTTCTCACTGTTGCTTTTGTGGCTGCTGGGCTGCAAAAGCAGAACCGCCGTGGCCGGCAGTTCTGGCCAGGTTGGACAAGTGAAGGCAGCATCATGCACCAGCTGGCATCAGGACTGGGTACATCGACAGGTTCGGTTGTTCAGTCATTCCAGCTGAGGCATCAGACACTTCAGTCACAGGTGCTTGGGGATGTGAAGGGAGCATCCCTACCTTCGGCGACGGAGTTGGTTTTTGGGATCGATCCTTTTTGGAAAGGACGTCTTCGAATCGGAACTGGCTGTGACCATGGGACCATAGTGGGGTCTTTCACTTGATGCGTCCATAGGGGGGAACCACCCCTGAAGAACTCAAGAAGCTTCGGCAGAAACGATATCATCCTCGGGCCGGCCTGGATGGGGTCCTTGAAGGATTGCTCAAACCCACTGTAACCCAAGACGGCCAATCGCAGGAGGCAGTCAGATCAGAAATGGCCCATGGATTTGAAGATAGACATTCCTGATTGGATACATTCCCTCCATGTATGGCACAGATACCTACATTGCAGGTGGTTTTTCAGGTGTCAATGTATATTCCATACTTCCACCCTAGAATCCTCGAAGTCCACTTGGACTCTTTTTGGGACCACCGAAGTAAAGGATCGTCCTGAAATCGGGTCATCTAGTCAGACCAACTTTCACTTCCAGGGTCTCTTCCATCTGCATTCGTGGACTTCCTATGGCAGTGGTGGACTTCGTATGGCAGTCCTTTCTTTGGGAATTGCACGAACCTTGGAGATCATCGAAGCCTCACTTCGATGGCTAACCGAACCGTTTGCCAGGGACCGTGAGCGATTTGCGGCTCTCCAGTGCCATTGCAGGAGCGTCAGTGAAGCCACAAATTGGCCACAAGGAATGGGCGTTCATCTACTGATGCTACCAAGCGGCTCAGGCGCTTGTTGTTGTTGTTGCTGCTGCTGCTGCTGCTGCTATGCCTGTTACTACTGTGAGACCCACTCAAGTTTTGTTTGTCAGTGCAGGATTGCCAGTCAAAACAGCATGTCACTGCATCTGCCTGTGCTAGGAGACTGCCTGAAGCTGAAAAGCACTGTGGAGGCTGGGTTTGACGGTCGGACTGTTGCCATGGGAAACGGTCGAACGCTGGGCATCTCACCAGCCTCGGAGTCAAGATCTCTCATAGAACAGTCGGGAGGGGTGATGGAGCAGTCAATGGGTGATCAGCTATTGGAGCAGTCCAGGCCTTGGAGCCGTCTATCCAGCTATTGGAGCCCTCTACCGTTGTACGTCTGAGTTCGTCGATGTCCGGACAGGGCGATCGGGTGCGATGTAGTCCCCAGGCTTTCCCCAATCGCGCTGCCGCGACCTGGCGCAGAGTAGCTACCGTCGTACGCAAAGCCGCCGGGTGACTTCGTTCTCCAAGAGTCAGCACTTCGTCTCCAAGGTTTGAAGGCTTTGGGCTAGTCTGGCATTTTGTTTTGAAACCATGTCCAAGACTCGGGGCATTCGCATACATTCATGTTGCATCATGTTGCATGGTCGATGCGTGTGACTCTTTCCAATGCTTCGAAGTCTTGGCTGACTGCTCGATGCCAATGGCGGTATGTGCCGTTTGAAACCTTATCTTCCAAGGTGCAAGAAACAACAGCCGCCCGCTGTGCTTCTACTGTTTCTGTAGCGCAGTATGGCCACAAATTGGTGAACTCATGGAATCTCCAAGTGGAAAAGCACCACCACCTGCTTGGGTCTTAAAGTCTTAACATTTCATGGTCAAACTCGGGGCCATGCCATTCCAGGACCTGAAAGGCCGGATGTCCAGCTTGGCGGCCGGGCATCCGAACGGGGGTTATTCCACCAGCCGGGTGGAAGGGAGGCCAAACGGAGGGTGGCGAAGTTACAACAGGTTCCTACCAGCTTTGGGGTCACTCCCATACGTTAGTAATAGGGATTGATATGGATCTCCAAGGTCCAGGAAGGGATTTATGACTCGTCCCGTGTTCCGTTGAGGCTAATTGACCATGACGGATAATGTCGGGCACCCTATGTTTGACACTTCAAGCCTTTCAAGATGTCTCAAGCGACGAACTCGCTCCATTGATGCCCCAGTTGATGTTGCCAACAATTTGTGGGAAGACATTTTTAAACACATGGGGACCCTGTCGGAGAACGGTCCTTGGTTTCTTGAAAAAGATCTGTCTTTGTCTGTCACATGATTCTCGGGGTGGATTCCCGGATATTCGGCACCGATCTCGAATTCCAATGTCTGATCGCATTTTCCCCACCGGTTGATTCATTTCAGTCTGAGTCTGACTGATGAGCTGTGCAGCACCCCATGATGGAAAGCACCCCATGTCAGAGCAGCGAAAGCCTAATATGTTGTTTAGCGATAGAGGTTACGAGCTAAGGTGCGGCTTAGTTTTCTCTTCTCAGACCAAAACTTATCTCACGAGCTCCTCAATGTAGTTGGCGAACGATTATATATATATATAGAGTGAACTAGTTGCCACTCCTTGCCCTGGCTTCTGCAGCCGAGGACGAAAATCATCGGCTGCGCAGCCGGCTGCGAGATGAGTCCGAGGGCTCGTTGTTTTTTCGAGGGCCTAGGGCACCATGCTTTGGGCACCAGGCAAGTTTGCTTGGCTCCCGCCTCGGCTTAGCGAGCTAGCTGCTTCGACAGCGCTGCACCAGACGGCTTCGCGCGCACTGTTCACCCTCCAAGGCTCACGAGACCGGAGGAGTCCAGGACTGCCCGTGTGTCACTCCGGTGTGTAACTCCGGGCGGAAGAGCAACGCCTGAAGCAACTGAATTATGCAAAGCCAAGAAGAACACATCGGATTCGGGGTGTTTTCCCCATGCCATGTGTCTTTCTCAATTCAGTCGTAGTCGTTGTCGGTGTTGTTTTCTTCTGAAGTCGCGACTCGCCAGCGTTGTCGCTGGGCCAGATGTTTTCTGCGGTCTCCTTTTGGGGCATATAAATCACTTGATGACCTGTTTGGAAGGATTTCCCCAAACCGGAGGCTCCGACTGGTGGGATTTGTGCGCATCGTCCTTCTGTGAGCCTTCGAAGTTTGGGATTTGTGCGGAAGACCAGTGTCCAACTGGATAACTTGGCATAATCTGGAGCCCCGAATTGCACGTAGATATATAGATATAAGTGTATGTAAGCGTATATGATGATTCCCCTCAACTACATGCACTACATTGGGGTCATACTCCGCCTCACACTACGGTGTTCTTTTTTTCTCGTCACTCACCAGGACGCCGCGAACACCTCCCTCCGAACTGCACAGCATGCTGCAAATGATGCAGCAGCAGCTGCAACAACAGCAGCAGTGGCTTGGCCAGTTTTGCTCGCGGGCGCAGTGAAGGTAGTGCGACAGCAGGGTCAGCACAACTCGATCCTGGATGTGTGGTTGTGGACGAAGTTGGTGATTTGCTTGAACGGATGATGAAACCTGTTGACATGGGATCTCGATAGTTGTAAGGCAAGGATGGCAAAGGGCAAAGCTTTCAAGATTGGAGATCGATCCCTACTAGTAAGAGTTAAGAGGGCCATGCTCCATGACGCCTCACCAGCTTGTGATTGCCCCAAAGATACCTTCCGAAAGAGGTCGACCCTGCATGGAAGATGAGCTAATTGACTTAAGCTCATAGCCATAGCCATAGCTTTTCTAGACAAACATGGATCGCCAGCTTTGGGCCGTGGGACAGGATCTTTGGACGCGTATTTCGACTGCCTGGCCCAACAGATACGAGACTGGTCAAATCCATTTTCCTTCTTCAATGGTGTTTTTATATGTTTTTGTTGGAATCTATTTCAAGACACACCCAGTTTCTTCACCCATTTGCATGCCGGTCCGCACGAGGCTCATTGAGCTCTTGGGCACCCGACCGCGGGCAGGCGGGTCACCTCCGCCGCTCCAGACCGGGTCGGGGCGAAGCAGCGAAGGGTGAAACGGTGGGCTGAAGGGTTGGGCTTCGGTCGGTCCTCGGTGCGTGAGCCTCGGTGGTTCTTTTTTTTGGAGATTCAGTTCATCATAGTTCATTTTTGAAGCACTTCATCCATCCACAGCTGGTTCCGGTTAGGCAGATGGAACTTGTAGGCTATGAATCCACATGGTTGAAATGTGGAGTGTGACGAGGTTCATGAACGTGAGCCGCAGAAGATGAGGGAGGTGGATCAACTAATTATACATACTTGGGATGTCCTTCTTGATCTTGTTTTGTGGGTTCTGAACTCGAACAAATATGGAAGCATGGTTTCCAGGGCTCAGGGTGTATTTGCGGTGATCATCCTCCCAGCAGTCGGAATCAAACAAGAGGTTACAATTGCACATGTCTAGAACAGTTTATGTATATATTTTATTAATCCAAACAAACCATGTTTAAACATGACTGAACGACGAACGACCGCGTCGCGCTATCCAAACATATCCAGCAGACGTGACAGGTGTCACCACGCCGCCCGCTCCGCCTGCAGCTCCGGGCACAGCGACAAAGGCTGCGCCCCCTGGACCGACAAACACGCGTCAAGCTGGTCGTTTTTGGAGTCACTGGTCAAAGGCGGTCTGTTATTTTTTGGGCTAAAGGAAAAGACATGAAAAGACCAACGAAAATGAAAGGACCTCTTCTGGCCCAAGTGAGAAGATGTTTGAAGTCTTCTTTTCTGGCCATACTAGAACCGTGCACCCACGTGTATGAATCAGCTTGAACTCGAAAACAGGCCATCACTGCCTACCCAACCGGGTCAACACTGGTTTGTAGTACCCCATTCTCCGAGGCCCCGTTGACCGCGGAAGCGCCGCTGCCCGGCCGTGCGGGCAGCGCGGGGTGTACTTGGCGGCGCCTCGGGCTTGAGCTGTTGGACGACGATTGGTGCACGGCGTTTGGCACGGGGTTTGTGCCCAGGAAACGGCATGGAATGCTCATACAAGATAGTGCACACATGTTTTTTGCGCTTTTAAGCCATGCAGGCTGCAAGTTTGTGGATTTGGCTTGATAGTCTGTTAAACATCCTGGTGGCACATCCTGAGTCTTATCAGAGACTGGCTTGGTGGTTTTTGTTTATATCCTAGTCACTCGTCGCATATGTACTGTTTTTTCTTTTTCTTTGCAGGATGTTGTTCTGTTAGCAGCCTTGGCACCTGGTCATGACTCCTTCCAGAAAGATGTCGTTCGGAGAGGTTGTCTGCAGCGCCGGACCACTCAGCTGTGTGGCGGCCAAGAATGATTCAGAATGATTGTCTTGACAGCAAAAGTAGGGGCTGGGAAAGCGCATGTGCAGAAAAGGTACTCGAGACCAATCTCTCTGGGCTGTGCAAAACCACAATTTCTGAGATTATCTTTTTCAGTTTGATGAAGATCTAGGATTTCCAACTCCTGCCTTTCTGAGCTCTTTGAGCCTGCCAGGTAGTGGGGTAGTAGACACGACATCCTTCAAGTGAGAGGGATGGAGATGGGCATAATCAAAACCCAAACCTGCCTAAATCCAACCCCCATATTGTGTATAAGGAAACCTCCCAGGCGTTCCGACCCCCTCTTCCAGGCTCGGGAAATAGACCAGTCTACCCAGCCAGGGCCAGGGCGTCTTTCTATTATTCCTGACTAAACATTCACACTCATCTGCCGACATCGATCGACGGGACCTGAGACCTCTCACTCTCCTCTCGGAACTGTCTAAGGTAGCTCTGGCCGAACCGATCACGAGGATGGGGGCGCTTTTTCCTGCGATGAGTGTGGAGGGGTGTCCCAGGAAGAGCTCCAAGGCTCCCAAGTGAAGTGATAAGAAGTGGAGAAGGGCCACCAGCACCCGACCTTACAACGAGCATGAAGCGTTGGCACCCAAGGACAGACAGATGAGCAATCAATTCTTTTGGTTTCAACCCAACCACACTGTGTCACACCTTCTCAGCAATCTGCATGGTTTCCTCATCCCCAATACTGTAGGTGCAAGGTTTTCTGAAGATCCCAGAAGAAGCCGACTCGACCTGCTGGTGCAGCTCGCAGGCTGGTGGCGCGCGAGGGTCCGTGGGGGAACTCAGGCACTGGGTGCTCCGGAGCACTGCAGGCTAGCTGAGACAACTTACAGAGCACTCTCCTGAACTTCACTATGACTCACAGGGATGTGAAAAAGATTGAAAAAGGACCTTCCTTTGGCGACAGCAGATGTTCCACAGACGCAGCTATGTATGTGGATGGGTGGAGGTTGCCTGCGCAGGGATTCGTTTGGCCCACGTGAGGCCGAAGAACGGCGCTCGTGCTGAACTGCTAGTGCGAGCCCCAGAGTGGCGGTATCCTGCAGGTGAAGGGCGCAGAAGAAGTTTTGACGGCAGACCTTTCTCCTGCCAGCAAGTTCAGCACCAAAATCAATTTGTCGTTACCAATTCTCATAGAAACCGATTCTCGTGTTGCTTGTGGAGGAGACAAATCAGATGGGTTTGAGAGAATTTTGTGTTACTTTGACTTTGAAGAGTCATTTTGATGGATCAAAAAGGACCTCCGATCGACGCGAGTTGGTCACCACTGGTCGTCGACGAGGTCACACCTCCCGTGACGCCGCCAGCTCCGCTTCCAGCTCCGCCCACAGCGCCACGGTGGGACAAGGGGAGGGGAGACGAGGGGAGAAGCTTTACCAGCAAGCAACTGAATGGATCTGTAAGCAAGGCCAGGCTGACTGGCTGCTTGTGGCCTGGTGCTGGGATCCAATGACTTGGCAGAGCCTCATTCACTTAAACACGTTGAGGGGACCTTTGGCCAGGGGACCCTTGGCCCGTCTCTCATTATATAAAGGGCTCCTTTTGACCGGAGCAATGTTCAGAACAAAGGTGTTCATCATGTCATCTGGTCTCAAAATAGGAAGACCTTCCAAAATCCAAAGAGGGTTCCATGTTCAGACCCCTCTCAGAAGGAAGATCAAACATCCACTGGTCCGGTTGGCCTCACGAACGTCGGCACCAGGAGATGTCTCACGCCTCGCGGCCTGACGGCACTAACGCCAGGAGGGACCGAGACAGGTTTGAAGGAGGGACGAGTCATGTCCGACATGTCGGTGTGGTCTGAAACTCGGAGTTTGTTGTTCTTTTTTGTGGTCAGTGGGTGAACTTGTGTAGATGGCAGCTTCAATTGTCAATGGTGGCAACTTTCTTTTTTGAGGCTTTTTACATTTGCCAGAGGTAGATCTCTTGTGCCCCTTCTGTTCTGTCTCCTGAAACCATGTGAATGATCTGAGGCGGATGGAGAACATTGGCACCTGGTGTTCTGTCACCTGAGGTTCACCAGTTCGGCTGCAAAACTCCTTCAGATTTTCAGGGACCATGCCATCCACCAACTGGCCCATTGATGACTTCAAGGAGTGTATAGCTGCTACTAACACGATGTACCTCAGGCGCAGCAGAGAACCCCTCCTCCCACCCGTCCATACACGTGGCGCGAAGACCGCGCTGTAGTAGTTTGGCAGGAAGAGATGGACCACATCTCTTGGAGCGCTGTGGCCCGGTGGCCCTGGGCAACGGCCCTGTGGGAGTAAAAAATTTCTGGATTAAGATGGACTAAGTACGTAAGTATATATGAACAATATGCACACATTCAGTTGATTTCAGTTGTATTATACAGTTGCACTAACAAGTCATTCATCTCCAGGATGGATGAGCTATGGGGATGAGTCGGTTCTTTTTCGCGAAAAACCGACCAGTTGGTCGCGAGACCCGAACGAACGAACAACCATCGAGCCCAAAACACACAGGTAGATCAACCGCTCGGTCGACCCACTGTCATGACCGTCATATTCAGAGTAGTAATGATCCGAGTAGGGAAGAACATATTTTTCGCAAAGGTTGGGTGTCTGAATGGTTCAACATCGTAAAACATGCAGGTATTTGCCGGGCGGAGTAAGATCCAAGAACCCGAACCGGCAAGTTTCGGTGAGACTTAGGTTGGAATCTTCTGTTTTCCAAAAGAGATATGGGAGATTCCGCATGGTTCCGGTTCTGACCATGTCCAATACCATGTCCAATGGCGAGAACTCCGAGAACATGTTTCTTTTCTCCCTTCATGACCAGCAAGGTCCTTTGCTGTTATAGCATGTTATGACAATTCACAGTGAGTTATAGTTAAAGTTATAAGTGCTGTCAAATGCTCAACTCACTTTTTCCTTGCCAGGTCCTTTGCTGGACAACTCAGCGCCAATGGGCTGCCCCAGGCGTAGGTGCTGGCGGGTTTCGCAACAAAACGACATCAGGAGGGAAATGGCCAGTGGTTTTTCTTGTTTGTTTTTTATGGTTGAAAGAAAGAGCACAGCAACGAACAGTGCAGTCGTTTCCAGAACACACAAAACTTGCTTTGTTAACGTTTGTTGCAGTCGTTCTTTTTGTTTGTTGCTTGCAGTCCTGGTCCTGCAGAACAGCCGACTTTATTTATTCCGCCGAAGCTCCTGCGAGAGTCACCTTCTGACCGTGGAACATTCAGAAAGCAACCGTTATTAAAATTCTAAAAATCAATGTCCATCAATTTCCCATAGTCACAAATAGTGCTTGAGTTTTGTTTGTTTGTTTGTTTGTTTTGTTGACTGTCGTGATGATTTTGTGATTTGCGTCCGTCAAGCACATCATGGTGAGTCTGGAACACGACTGCTCGAGTATATATATATGGATCAAAACCAGATGTTGAAGGAAACTTCAGGATGCTTGTTAAAAACAATGGCAAGGAAGCAAGTGGACTCATGTGAACCCTTTCCCCCTCTCCACTTAGATGCCATCTCGTTCCTCTTAGGCTAGCCATCTAGAGCCTTGCCATCTTCAACTATAGAGGCTAAGGACTAAGGAGTTAACGGAGCTAGACCGGTAAGTCCTAAGTCACTAGACCTCAGTATAGTTCATTCTCCACAAACTGCTGTTCTCTCAATGGCTCACAGCTCGGCCCAGTTTGACGCGAGCGACCTCAGCTCCAGCGCGGAGAGGAGTGCAGCGAGTGTGGGTTGTGGCGTTTCTTTTGTGAAGACCCGGAGAGTTGTGGGAGGGATTTCTCCAGATGTAAGGTCGTGTGGACGGTGTGACAGTGTGGACTAGTCCACTTGTAGTGGTGTTGCGTCAGCTCTAAGGGTCTGGGGACCTTCGGAAACAAGAATCCTCTTGGCCATGACAGTCCAATTTAGGCTGGTTGAAGGTTTGGGCGTTCTTGGGGTGAACTCGCCTTGTGAAGTTTCTCGAATGTAGACTCTTGTTTGATCTGTAAACGTTATAGTGACCCCAGCCGAGGCAACGAGGTGTGTATTAGCTAGAACGATGAGGTCAGACACGAGGCGGGTTTGGGCAATTTAAGGATAATTCGACGGCGACGGTGACTGCGACTGCGACCGCTGAGACAGGAAGCATAGCTTTGGAGCCCAAGGCATACATGTTGTATTTTGTATGATTTTTGTTGAAGAGTTTCTATTCCGATTTAGTCGTGGTTTTACACATTCTGCTTAAAGCCCTGATCTTTTGATTTGGCAAGGAAGCATCACCAAAAGGAAAGTCATCATTCGAGGAGGCACACCTTCATAGCTTGGCATCTCCGACACTACAAAATCAACCCCGCTTCAAAAACAAAGCCGGCCTCGCTCGCTCCTTTTCAAAGACAAGCGCAGAGAAGCCACGCCTCTAACTGCCTCCTCAAGCGAACATGGATCATGAAGCCATATGAGTTCGAACGGGTGAGGACAAAATGTTCGCGCTATAATATAAAGAACACACCATCACAAACGGAATCTCGTCAACCTTGGCCTCGTGGCACAAAAAGAGCCTGCCATAGCCTACCTTTTATGTCCAATCTTTCATGCGAGATTGGATGATGTACTGACTCACGCCAGCAAGGTTCCGGGATGCTTGCCATCGGTCCATCCTCGATTGGCGGAGTACTTTGCAATCATTCTTCTCATCTTGGTGGCTATACTGATCTCAACGCCAGGGCAGGTACGTTTTCACGACATCTCGCCCTGAACTGTTACAGACTTGATGTCGGAACCCGGTACGACACTTTCTGTGCAGAAAAACGCGGCCGCAAACCTCCCGACTCCGCAGATGGGCTTCAGTGACAGTCGCCGCGGAGTGGGCTTCGCGCTGTGTGGCTTCAGTGAACTCCACGCTTCGACGAGTCGATGCGAACGTGACCCAATAGGGACGGACACATTGTACGAAGGCGACGAACGAAGCGCGAGTCGTTTAGCGCTGTGGTGGAAGAGCATCCTTAATGGCTTGCTGGAAGTCTCGTTCATGATATATATATATATATTAATCCGTTTGAAGCTGCTATATGCATATATATGCGCTTGCTAGCTGTAGTTTCTGGCGAATCTTTCCCTTTCCCAGCTTTGTCGCATGCTGAAGCATGTTTGTTCAGCAGGCGAGACAGGGACCAAGAGATTTGCACAACAGGAAGCAACGAGAAAGTACCAACATGTACCAATTCAAAAGTTGCCGCAGAGGCGATTTAAGACCTTGGTTTTGATCTTCTTTTGGCCTGTCGATATTTACGTGTTACCCGTGTTTCATTGACACTGGCAGCACGCAGCTTACGAACGACAGGTTTGCGTCTGAAGGCCGAAAGTCCAAATCTGCGGCCTCATGCTACGTCACCAAGTCTCATTTTTGCAAGAAAACCAGGAAGCGGCTGAGAGTCCACAAGAGATCACTCTGCGAAAAAGTCAAGACACAGAAATGCGCAAACATGCGAAGACAAGAGATGCAGGTCCGACAGCAGTGCACAAGCTTGCGCAACAGCATGCCGAACAGAAGCAACGGAGCAATGAAGCTTTCGTCATGCAAGACGTCACGTGTTCACACGGCATGCACACAGGCACACGGATCGGGATCGGCGTCAGATCTCAGATTCCAAAGGAGATCTCCATTCCGGGATAACGGTTCACAGTCTGACCTGGGAAAGGAAAACGTCTACATGTCTTATCTAGCAGGTACTCTTTTCATGTCTCTAGTCGAGCATGGTCCCTGTCCTCCGAGCCCTCGCCGCCCTGGCTCCGGGTAGTGAGACTCAGATGAGTGCCTCAGCCAGGCTGTGAGGTCAGAACCTGTAGACTTTGCAGGGCCAGGGCTGCCAAGGGAACCGGTTCTCGATTTGTACTGTAAGTGCAAAGTCAGACACCCCAGCCTACTCCCAAACTCACGGGGGGATATTACATTAAAGTAGGATAAGTAACAAAACAAACCATATCAAGAGGTTTTACCGTCCAAATGGGAATGTTTGACTCGATGTATGCTGCATACAAAACCACAAGTGGAAATTCTTCCAAGACCACAAGTCTCGAGTCTCACGGCTGAATTGACTCTCAATGGGGTCGATCTTCCTTCCGATTCCCTGGCCATTCAATGCCTGCCGACGTGCACGTGCACTCACCAAACAAAGTTGCACGGACATGTGTGTTGCATATGCGTTCACCCCGTTGGCAGAGATCGGGCCAGGGCCAGATTGTTCAATGTATGGCATACCCAAATCCTGCCACCACGGGGCATTGCCACTCAGTGGATTTTCTCTACTTGGACCTCTATCAACCTTGTAAGATGTGTGTGTGTGTGTGTGTCTCATGCCAGCAGTGCATCTCCACAGGAGGTCCAAGTCCAGCTTTCTTGGGTGTGCAGGTGCGAAACGAGCCGTTCCGCGGAAGGGGGGAAGCTTCGGGTTGGCATGAGAAAGTGTGTTCTGATTGAGGAACCTTTGTTTGTTCGTTTGAAGCTCCAAGCTTGGACTCAGCCGCCTCATCAATCTCTTTTACACGATGCTTCTTCTACAGCTTCTTCTACACGAGGCTTTTACAGCCGCCTCATCTCCTCATCTTCCTATCCTCCCCGACCTCGTGGGGTCTTCTTGGGAATCTTCCGCAGAAGGGCGGTGGGTCCTGAAGATTTCATTGTAAGGTTTCAGTATATTAAATAAGACAGAGATTGACAGACAATGATCGACAGACAATGCTTCCGGGTAGCCAACTTGCTGGTAGCTTACCACTGCGCGGTTGGTAGAAGTCACATTTGCTCGTTGGTCCATGTTTGTTTGTTCAAGTGACAATGCTGGTGCATGGAACTACAGTGGTGGCGCGAATGCCAAACCCTGCCTGAGTTATTGACTGGCGAACGCGGGAAAGGTTTGATTGGGTACTTTGCCAAACACACGATACGTTCTATCTTCTGTTAAATAACGTAGACTTCACATTTGGGGAACCCGTTCGATAGTCTGTAGACATTTTTTCGTACTGAACTAGGGAGACCACCAGGCAAACACACCCTTGAAAGGGACCCATTGGTTGGAGGTTTGCCTCTTCTAATAGATAGACACACGTGTCCACACCCCGCAGGCTGTGCCGCACGCCGTGCGGGCGCGGGATGGAGCCGATCGGTGGTGTGTCAGAGCCGCTCTGCCGACGTCCAGACAGCTCCCAACGAACAGAACCACGAAAGGAAAGGAATGGAAGGATCAGTGATGCACTTGGGGTTACTGTGCCCAAGAATGATGCCAGTTTTGGGAGCCATAGACACTTGGTGTACCTAGAGCCTACAGGCCTGTACACACTCACATCAAGACTTCCAAGAAGGAGACATCTGGGAGATCTTGCAAAAGCCCTAGTGCTTTCAGACACCACACCCAACTTCATATGACTGCGACCTCCAACGAATGGGCAAAGAGAGCGTCACCTCGTTCACCTCGTTCACAATATCAAAAGATTTACTGTATGTTGGGTTCTGGGTTGAGTAATTGCCCCCATAAGAACAACCCCTCCAACCGATCAACAAAGGCTCAAAACCCTTCCACCCCCCTCCCTACACCCGATTTTCTGCAGAGATGAGCGATGTCCGGGTTGTTCGATCTACGTCCATGTGCGCGGACGCGGGATGTGTTGGATTCCCCTTTCTCGAGTGGAGAGCCGATTCTGTGTGTATGGGGGCGAGGCCTGGGTCGTCCACACCAGGCAGCTCAGCAGGTGAAGACCAAGCCCCTACACACCTGGGCCAGAGAGGCGAGGGTGGAGAGAGTGTAGAGACGCTCTGCGTGCGCGGAGAAGAACGAGAAATCCATGGTGGACATCGGGAGGGGTTGAAGTGTGCAAAGCATGTTTGCTGTTGTTAAGCTTATAACTTTATATAATGTTGTTAAACATATGTTTACTATGTTTTCCAAGGAACAACACTTGCTGCCTAGGAGACGGTGCTGGTCCTTTTGGAGATGAAACTTGATAGGAAGCACAAGCAATATCAATATCACACAAAATTCACTAGGGCTTTTGTTTTGAATCACTGAAGGGAAGAGACACCAGATTGGCTTGGAAAGCACATGCCATCCCAAGTTGAAATCGGGTGAATGGTAAATTTCCCATGATTCCTCTGTCGAACACTTGGGCATACATCTACTCGGGTATGATTGTAGCTGAATCAGCTGGGTCAGAGGCAAGAGCTGATTCCATCCGCGGTGTCCGGGCCTCCATCGATGTGTAGCTTTGATCGGATGGGTGTGTTCTCAGGGACTTTGAAGGGGTCTGGTGAAGCACTGGATCCCACCGCGGTGTCCACCGATGCCTGGCAGGTGGCCACAGTTCCTGGTAGGCGCAAGTAGCGCCATTCCGGACGAGTGGAGCGAACCCCCGTCGACTCTTCCCATCGAAGCTTTCGAGAGTCGAACGATGCAGCGTCGACTCTTGATGAATCAAACCTCCCCGGGATCCAGAAGGCTTTGAGCAATCTCCATGTGGAGGGTTTGATTAGTCTACATGATTTGCACATGCCAATTTTTTGGGAAGTTGGTCCGTTCCGTTCACTTCGAAAGGTCCGTTCTGGCATTTGCTGGGAGGAACCCATTGGAGACCCATCCAGCTGAGGTAACCCCCAACCGGAACTCGCCAACCCCCAGGAGTTCTCACATGTTCTCACCAAGGTCGTGTCACATGTGCCGTTGATGGAATAGATGGCCTGGTGCTCTTGGTTGGACGAACTAAGAGAGGTGATACCCCTGGAAGTGAACAACCACTATAGGTACAGTATATGGTTCCAAATCGACCTCTATTTCCCCAAAGGACACCAGTGACGTGGATGCCGGACGAACGACTCCTGCTCATCCACGCCAGGTGCGCGCCAGGTGTCCACCTTGGCGGCTGGGTGGGGCCCCAAGTGGGCGCATCACCGGTGTCCACGCACGGTGGTCCGGACGTGAACCGCTTGGCGGTGGCTGGAAGAAGCCCAGCTGCTGTGTCTGAAGGTGACGAAATCCCACCACTTGTGTTAAGAATTAGAAGAGCATATATATGCCCGGTCAAGGTGAAGGGAAGTTCAATGTACACCCGCCAGCCATGGGCTCATGTTCAGGACCTGAGAACTGCCGCATTTGGCTGATCATCACAGGAAAGTGCCGGCAAACATGCAGCGATGCCTACCTCCTAGCGGCGCAACTAGAGCTTGCAACCAAAGACTTTTTGACCAACACAACCCCTGTGCCAGCTGTGCCACTTACTGCAATTAGGTTTCCCTAATCATTTCAGAAACGTGACATACGGTTGGGCCTTGGTATCAGGCTATCAACTCTTGGTGCCTTTGACAGCCAAGTGCAGCATTTCTTGGAGCATATGAGACGCAGGCAGTGTTCAACCCTGAATACAAGATCGCAATGTTGCATTCCTGGCATTGGTCACTGTCCAACAAGAGCTGGCGGCACGTTCAGCTGTGACTACCAATATGACGGCATGTGGCTGATTCTGTCGTTGATCGGCCTTGGCCATGCGGCGAAGAGTGTGCCCGGGATGCAAGATATGTTTTCTATGGTGTTTTGTGAGCCTTGATTCCAATCCTTCGCTGTAAAGAGGATTGGGGTCTAGAAGTTGAATGCTTCTGGCCTGGTGGCCACTCAGTGTTCATGTTGCTGCCCCCAACCCCCCCAAACCATCAGGTCGTGAGTCGTGACTATTAAGTAGGCACCGACGATAGTACGCTTCGGAGTTCCTTGTTTGAGGCTGCTGAATGCCGTAAAATGATTCTACAATATTAGTTTTGGTTCTGTGAACTCATCTAATCCAAGAGTGACTTCACCCACGTTGATCGTTTTGAGTTGGGCGGCTTGGAGCATCCAAGGTTGGCTGGGTCTATGTGGCAGACCCTACGCTGCTTGGGTCAAACCGGAGCGCTTTGGACACAGAAAAGCTGACCTGGTGACCTAGGTCCCGGTGAAAACCCAAGAACAGATCATCTGAATGACAGGCCTGCTTGGGTGAGCTGAGAGGTTGGTCAGGTGAGCTAAGAGGAGTCCAAGGGAAAAAGCTCCGGCCAATCGCCACGGGAGGACGGCAAGGCATGCGGCATTGGTGTCAAAGAGGGATTTATATAAGAGGGGCTTCCATGATCCAAACTCCCATCCCTTGGTCTCCAGATGTTTCCCATCTCCTTTGAATTTCTATTCCTGCGCCTCAAAACAACCTTCCTTGGACCAAACGGCTGCTTCTTTGTCCGAATTCTGACTTGCTGCCGGCTGCCGGCGCCATGTTCCCATGTTGGGAACACGGGATGGTCTGGTGCCCAGAACACCGAGGCAGCAACGTTGGGAAGGCTTGGCCTTTGAGGCCATGGATCTGATGGTGGTGGGCCCCTTGGGCCTCCAGCAGTGTGCCTTGGTGGCTTTGGGAGTCGAAAAAGACGGAATCAACCAATACCAGGATCTGACCTCAGCCATCATGAGCCATCTAAGCGGTGATCATCCGGGATAGCCGGTATTAGCCGGTGATCGAAAAGAAGGTGATCCTACCCGGTGTTTTGGACGAGTCCTACAGGGCGTCCTACACCTCAGACTCCCCAAACTCCCGTCATCCACCCCTCGGCGTCCCAAGATCATCGGTTTTTGGAGGTTCCTGCTGACTTTCTGTGCTCACTTGCATCTGAAGTGACGGCTTTGATTTTGCTCGTGTAAAGCATCTAGAATCTAGACCTTATTAATGATGGCCTCTTTTACCACCATCGTGTGAAATGACATAGCAGACAAACATCACTGCATCACTCCACTGGGACTGTCTCCTCAACTGAGGTGATTGGACTCCACACCGCCAGTCTGTCTTTCCATACCGACCACTCTTCAACTGCGAGGTTCCGTCCGTCGGACACGGCCGTGATTGGGTGGAAGGGTGGATGGAATCCATGTCCCAGTTCGTTGGGAATCGCCTCTTCATCTGGGGCATTCCTCCGGTCCCGGGCAAGCCGTGTGATCCTCGTTGGGTCGGGAAACACTGGGACGGCGTGTTTGAGATCATGGGGAGTGACAGTCATCATGCGGATGTTTGCAGGTTCGCCCTTGGAAGTGCACCAATCTCTCAAGCAATCCACGGCGATGCCAACGAGAGACCTTCCGGGTTCTGCCCGCAAAGCGTTGGGGTTGGGCAGCCGACGACGCTCCTGACAGGCCAGCTTTGGCGTCAACGTGTGGCGGCCTGGGCTTTAAATTTGCGAAGGTGGAATGTGTCCATTATCTAGCTGGTGCTCAGGAGGGAGCTAAGGAGCCAGTGGAATCCATGTTCCCTATTAGACAGAGAACCAAGCTAGTTATACTGTTATACACTGAACCCTTTATAACCAGGGCTCCAAGCCGAGCAGTGTAGAAGGGCTGATGCAAGCTGGGCCTATGCAAGCTGGCTTCCAGCCAACCCGAACACGCTGCAACCTTTGGAGTGAGGGGCCTGAGGAGTCCTGCAAAAGTAGGTCTTGCGAACCTCAGCAGTTTGCTTCACATCTGGACAAACCTCTGTTTGCCAACCTCAGTACTGTAGGTCTTGTGTTGAAGTAACATCTGAACACAACAGGTTTTTCAAACTTCAAGTGTCATTCATGATACCTTTTGGATCCTTTCGATAGCAAGAAACTATCAATGTATCAAGTCCATCAGAGTTGCTGTATCAATCATGCAAATCTATCAACTACTCCTCAAAACATGGCCCCATCCACACTCCACAACCCGTTTTTCGATGACCAGCTCCGGTTGTGTCCCTTCACCTCGATGACTCAGGCGAGCTTCTTAGACCGCTTCGAGCATCTCTTGGCCTTGGCACGTCAGAGGCATCTCTCTTCGCCGTGTCGGCTTTGCTGGGTGCTGTGCCATTCCAAACACCTGGCGCGTTTGGTCCAACGGTTGCCGCCTGGTGCGCTGTGGCTTTTTCCGCCCTGGTGCCCAGATGTGAAAGATCAAACTTGCAGTGCATGTTTCTTCGCGGATGAAGGATTCTTTTGGGGCGGCAGGTGAAAGTTTAATTTTTGATGTTAGGTCCTGTTCCTGGGGTCTCCCCTCTCTTGCGTGGGACATGTATGAGCAGCAGCTATATAAATGGCAATTCTTGTCTTCCCCCTGGTCAGGAATCCCAACTTGGAGGTGATGGCCGCACAGTGGTATGCCAGCGCCCAAGCTGCAGAAGGATCCGCAAGACCATTTTGCTGCAGAAGTGGATCCTGGACATCAATTCAATCTTTTCATCTCGGGATCAACTGATCACTCCAAATCACTTGGTGCTCCATGCCCGCGTGTGCGGGAGTCTGAAAGACTTTCAGCAGACGGTGCCATGAAAGAAGCCATGAGAGCTCACTTACAGTAATTGATGCTAGCAAATGTACAAATATGTAGAAAAACACCTGGTGCATCTGGAAGGATTTTGAACATTTTCGTTTTTGAAAGGCCTTTCCCTTTTCGTCCCGTTTGTTTTGCGTTTTTGTTTTTTTAACTTTTTTCCGTCATGTGTTTTCTTGAGGTGATTGGGAGGCGCCGCTGGAGAGTTGGGGCGGTAGCTTGGGAGTCTATGGCCCTGACATTGCTTCGGAGCAGTTGGAAGGCGCCCGAGGGCGGACGTTTCATCGTGGGTCTCGAGCTGGACGGACTGAGCGGTGGGTTCTCTCGGGCTCAGCGGTGGCGTTGTGTCAGATCCATCAGAATTTTCAGGTCTACCTCGTAGACCTGGACAGTCAGATTAGTATAGATAGTTTTTTGCGATTGTTATGGTGTGCTGATTGCAATTTGCCCATCCAAACGTCCAGAGCCGGAAGGCTATGCTTCGACCGTGAGTGCTGCTTGGCCACGAACAAACATGTCTACAAGGGAACTGGGAGCATTTGTGAGCTTTACAAGCAGGGTCATGTCATGTTGTTTATCCAGAAGAGAAGAGAAGCGAAAGCATCGTCTCGCACACCGAAATCTGGAGCATTTGGAATCCAAACACCCTCTGAGTGCAGGGTCGCGGTCTGGGTGGGACGTCTGTCCATGCGAACGAGGAGCCTGTCGAATGTGAACGGAACACCCAAAACGATGGCCGACACCAGGACCCCGCTGGGTCCCCCTTCAAACGTTCGGTCGGTTGACTTTAACAAGGGATTCACTCATGAGGCAAATTCACTTTGTCAAAGTTGCCCAAATGATACACATGTCACATTTCATCAAAGGTCCAATGTCCAGGTTACTTCCTCCAGTTCACCCTCTTCGGAGACTTTGCAAGTCGGTTCTCAAGCCAAATCAAGCATAAGAACTGACTACACCCCCTGCGCCACGCCGCCACGGCACCTCCGAGGCCTTCTTGCATCGCTACAACTTGACGGGCTATGTCTTAGACTACGAAGGCACCAACGTACTGCGCTGGCGGCTTGGATGCGCGAACGCGTGCGCAGCACGGTGCTCGAGAAGCACAAAAGAAAGACCCGGATGTAGCCAGGAGCGACCTCGGGGCGACCTTCTTGAGATCAATCTGAAACACGCTCATGCAATCATTCTCGATATTCCTGCAATGAGTATCCAAGAGCGAATCCTGGCCGCTTTGGATGATATCCATTTAGTTGAGCAATCACGTCACAGGGTCTAGGATTCATGAACGAAAACCCCAGCAAGTCCTTGAGACATCAGTTCCGAGCCCCATCAATTTCTTCAAACAGGAAGTGAGACAATCTTTGTTGGTTGTCGGTGGTTGATTTTGGTGTGCTGGACTCGACCACGAAGTGGTGTCTCCGAGGTATCCAGAGCTTCTGAGGCAGTTGTTGCGTGTCTTCCGAGACGCTTGGCTTGCATCAGGTGTCACCGTGCAAATGTACAGCAGATGCTCAGTTGGAGACCAACCATGAACAGTTGGTTGAAGTGGTTACCCTCCCGACAA